GCACAGTACTATTCTATAAATCTCTCTAAACACAATGGTGTACATTTGGATAACATTATAAACATTTAAACATGTTTAAACAATGATGAAAGGCAAAACGGCACCCAGAACGCACCGATTTTTGTAAATATTTTTTAAATTTATTTTGAAGACTAAGCGTCTAGGAGAAAATATAATTTCAGCACTCGATACAACAGACATCTACCTTGCGAAGTGAGTTGAAAAAAGTTCCGTAATACAATTGGTTTTCAATTGAGGGTGAAAAGTAGTTACACGGAACATAAGGTATCGACGATGATGCTCAATGTCACGCGTATAAACCGGAGGCGGAAGCATTGTACATCAGGAGAGAAGAATGTGGGTGATGAAGAAAAACGGATTGCATATTCAAATTCAACATGAGGCATACTATTATATTAAAATCATTCATTAAACCTTCTGTAATAAAAATCGTGTTGAGCAGTGTAATCACTAAAATCTTCTGCTTCCTTAAATCAACTATAGAAAATAAAATAAAAATGACGAACATTATAAATAAAAGTAATAAACCCATCTAAGTAGATGCAAGAAACAAAATTCTCATTTCCATTTTCATACATTATCTAAAATTCAATAAACTTCATCGAAATCCACTGAATAGCCATTACCAATCAACAAAAATTCCAAATTCATCAATCCAAATCAATCAATCCACTAAAAACAGCTATGAGAATGAAATATCCATTTTACAGTTCCACATTCGAAACTTTAGATGATCAGATAAATCAAAAGTCAATCCGTTGTTGTTCGATCAGAAAAATTCGCTGGTCGAAGGAAAACAGGAAAAATGATATAGCGGCGGTTGCTAATGAGAGAGCGTTGCCTCGATGTCGCGGCCGTTGTACGGGGTACAGTCGAAATGCGAACAATGCACCGTTGCGCCCGCCACTTGGCCTCTCGACGAGACCGCGTGTTGCTCTATTTACCGGTCCCGCCGGACCTCTACGATGTTATTAGCGTATACTTGCCAGGCGCGACGGTGTTTTTAACAATGCTCACCCTTCCCCGGCCCTCTTCTGCAGCCTCGTATGCATTATGCGCGGCTCGTCTACGAGGAACGGGGAAAAAGGAGCCGTGGCAGAGGATCGGAATAATATGTGCGTTACGGGCTCTGTTCCGAGCGGGGGTGGACGGAATTTTATTCTAATAATATAGGCGCCACAGCTAACAAAGTTCTGAAAGTATCGGGTAGGGCAAAACATTTCGCGCAGCATTTTTTGACAAAGATTAGGAACGAGTTTCGTTTGAATGGATTATTTCCCAGTGCATTTGAACTTGTTATCTGTTTTGTTCGATAATGTTTCGTCGCCTTTTGCTTGTGTGTGTAACTGTTTCGGAGTATTTTAAATATATTTTTTGTAATGTCATTAATATTCGTGAAACAGTAATAGTTAAATGTGGAAGAGCAAAGGGGATGGTATTGCATTTTGTACAAAATTTCAACTGAACTTTATCAATTTTAATAGACAATTAACCAACCTTTTGTGAACACAGCGATATCTAATGTTATAGATATAACACATATCGCCATACCTAAATATATTCTATTCAAATTGTATAAGCCACACAATTGACCACTTATCATTTTTGATGTTAAAATCATTGCACGCGCCATGTCACGATCGCTCTACATTTTTAACGCTCTATATATACCCATTATTATTCATTTCTTCAAAATCAAAGCAAACGTTTCTTCAACTTTACTCATAAAAAAGTAACCTATGCATAGAACAAGTCTCTTGAAACCCCCTCAGTCAATTGCCCTCCGCATCGATGGACACGTTCACGGAAAACGCGATGCAACGTTTCGTTTTCGAATCGAACGAGCACGATCCTCCCGCTCCGAAGATCACGATAGCGTTCCAGGTCTAACTACTTCCGATAAGTTGCCAGAGGACCGGAAGCCCACCGAAGCGGACGCCGCGTGACGCGTCGCGGTTTCTCAACCGTGCGCAAAATGGTCCGCGCCGTTCACGCGCGAACAACCTCCCATCAAAGTTTGGTTTCGCCACCCGGCCCCTCGATTCGTTTTACCGTCCCCCGCAGAAATTCATCTTCTGGTTTGGCGGGCAAAGAACAATTTCGACAAAGCTTCCACTGTTTCTCCAGTGGACCGAACACTGAATTTTTGCATCGGTGAACGGGATGAAGATTGTTTAGATTGAAGGTTTCTGTCTTATGGTTGGAAAAAATACATGAATACAGATGTTCATTAACAGATGTGATTTATGTGATACGGGATTGACGGAATAGGGAACGACGGAGATATTTATTGATATATTTGTAATATGCTCAAGTAGATGTGACTGTTGAACTTTAATGTTGAAGTGATTAATTTCATATTAATGAAAATAGAACAGAATTAAGTAAAATGTACTTTTACTTAACTTTTGGAAATTGTTGACCGTTTCGTTTTTCTTTTAACGTTTCGAAAACCGTTCAGTCTTTGTCAAAATATTCTGTTATTTCTAACTGCTGAAGGGCGTGATTATTTCCATTCGAACTCAAGTTCCAATTATTTCAAAATATAAATTCATTTTGTAGACATCCAAATAAACCATCGAAATTATTTAAAGCATGTTACTCTTTCTAGAAACCAGCTTATAGATAAAAATTCTCCCACGTCCTCGTCAGTACATATATATTTACAGTTCCAAAATAGTCGAAAATTTGAAGAAATTAAAGTCCCAAGAACATGCCAAGGTTTTAAAATACGAAAGTAACGAAGTGTTGTCATTGTGCAGAAGCATCGAAACCTGGCGCACGCAATTGGAAACTGCTTAAAGCAATTTCCGCGAACGAAGTACCCCATTTAGATCGGGTCGTGGGTCGAGCGCGGCGATTTTGACGGGCCGAGATTGAATCTCAGCCGTTGGTAGCGTCGCATCGCGACGCGTCGACTCGGAGATAAGTGAAAAAAGAAAGTGGAACAGGGAGGAAGGTGTCTTGGCGGCTGGAGGCCGGCTCCGCTCGAAATTGAACGTCGGATTGCGCGTTTATCGCGCTCGAACGGACTCCAAGGTCCGTTTTCCCACCCCCGCACGGATACATGTCTGCAACCGGGAAGACATCCGCCGCCATTTCGCGACAAGTAAAAACACGTTGGGGGGTTAAAAATTCACTGACAGGGTCTCCTCTCGCAACTTATTTTTCCCGAAGTTTGTTACAGGCGTTTTGATAGTGTTTCGGACATGAGACAGTAGAACCTGATGTTTTTTTAATGATAGTGGAACCTTGTATTTTTACTTTGTTTTATTGGCATTGAGTATTGAACGATAACTAATTTTGATTCAAGCTTGTATTTACTAAATTAATCATTCACAATAGTACATTAAATGCGATCGCGTTCCGAGCGACGAATAAATGTTCAAATGTTAATCGATATACTATTAAACGTGTTATCGATTGGATTAGTCGGTGAGAACGATATCGGTAAAACGATACCAACGAATTGGGAATTAACAGGACTTTTCTGTTTTAGTTAGTTCAATATTATTTTCTGATTAGTATCTGATTTATGTAATCGTAATATGCTGTGCATAAATGTTACGCATAATACGAGAGTAATGAAAATGTATGATATATGATATAGAAAAAATGATGACTTTGAGGTGATACTTGAAATAATTTTGTAAGGATATTTTTATTACCAGATGTACATGTTGAAATCAATATGCGGATTTATCCAAAAATTAATTAATTTTTGTTTCTTTTAATGCCAGCAGAAATAATATAGATGTTTAACATATGCGAAACATATGATACTTTAGCTTTTTATTTTAGAGGTATTAGTTATATAAATAATAATAATATATTAACGTTGTATACTTTGTATATTATAATCATCGACATAGTAAAAATGTATTGTACGATTTTGATTTATTATAAACTTCAATATAGTTTGCCCGACATTCTAAATTTGTTCTTGCTCTGTGAAAGGATCAACCTGCCCACGAAGCATGAGAATATCGTTTTAATAGCTGCAGAGGATACGGGAAACGACAAATCGGCTGGAAAATAGTGAAATTATAACTAAAATGTCATCCAATTATAGGATTAAGAAATCAATAGCCTACGATACGAAGAGAAAGAAATACCGCGTTCCCAGCAACAATTAAAAATTCATTACTTAGCCGTGGGAAATCTATGAAACGCAAAATAAGAAAGTCAATTCCACAGGAATGCTAACTGAAATACGATTATATAACTTGCCAACACAACAGATTTACAACACAACAAAAACCAGCAAACACGAATGAAATAAATAAACATTTTCTCTGCAATTCTCTTATCACTTCACGTCACAAATTCTAACATTAATATTGACCAGATATTCCAAAAAACTCAATAATTTCACAGAAATGATTTTCCCACGTCTATCGTCACCCGAACAAAAATAAGTTAATTCTTCCTGTGCAATCCTCTAGCTACTTCAAGTCACAAATCCTAACACCAGTGTTAAATAAATATTCTCTAAAATTCCACAGTTTCACAAAAATAATTCCACACACATCGTCATACGAATAAGAAGATCGCTCGATCAATAACCGCCTTCGAACACAAATCATCCCCTTTTAAACTTTCCCACAGCCACGGGAAAAGGTAAAAGCACGATCGACATAAAATCTCGTATTCACGAGCGGAAGTGGGGTCGGGGCCGTATTTTCCGTTCTTAACTCAATCCTTTCCCTCCCTAAGCAAATGGCGGCCGGAAGTTCGGCCGGATCGTAATGTTCCCATAGAATTTCATAAAGCACACCGTGTTAGATAGCTGGAAAGCCGTATTAGCTCGCTGGAAAATTTGTGAAAGTCGATCTAGCGTCTGGGGGCGTCGAGTACTTAGTTACCGGAAACCATTTTTTAAAGGGGCACGTCGGATAAACAGATTCGCTGAAGAAAGGGACGAGAAACACGGTTTAGGCAAGATTACGGCAGCAGGATAACTTTGCGAGTCTACTCACCGGCGCAACTGTATCCATTTTTATGAAGAATATAGCCGTCCCGACAGTCACACTCGTACATCCCGTCGTGAAGCTCGTAGCAGAGCTGCTCGCACGGTGACCCGTGCCCGCATCGTCCTGAAATGGAAACAAACCGCGGCGTGAGAGATCTCGCACTCTCTGGGATCGGAAATGAATAAATATCAGGTCGGTTAGAAATCTCTGAGACCGTATAACGTGGTGTTTGAATAAAGATTCGCGATTAACTTCTTGTCCTGGGATTTCCTTCAAAACTGTGCTTGATAAAACTACTCTGTCGTTAATAATTTAGTGAAAAAAGAGAAGAATTCTTTTAGTTTTCATATAAATGAAATATTACTTGTTTATTAGCAGACTTCAAAATAAACGCAGACACAGAATAAGCGTCATCTCGATTCGTCGAATTCGGTTGAAAATTTGTATCGAGAGTCTGATTCAATATTGTAGGACAAGGAGTTAAATGTGTGTTGATTTCGTATTCGAGAAGGAAGTAAAACTGTAGGAAACTGGTCTAATAGTAGATTCTTAGCACTTTATTATCCACGCTTATGTCGAAAAGAATAGAAATTGAATGAACGATCTTCCGAAAAGGAAACAATCAAATTAATTATTTCGAAAGGTTTAGGCATTGTAGTACCATTAGTTTTTTTCTTAAGTTCGTTATTTCCCATTTTTTGTGAGAATTCTCATTTCATTTTTATCTTTTCCATTATACACGTAAATAATGTGTTCAAAAATCTAAGATCTACTTAATTACTGTTTTTCTGTATATCGATATTCCACACACGTTACAGCTATTTGTCACTAAAAAAATTCATTTTTTATTCAACTTGGTCTAACAAGAGAACCTTTTCAATCAGCACACGCTGATTTTAATGAAACTTCTGTGAGACACAATTGCCAAGAAAATATTTGACACGTACTTTTTCTTATCGGCCAACATTTAGTCTAAACAAGTAAAAACATTCCTTAGCATTCAGGGTTGAAAATATATTTTTTTACATATCTTTGAAACTAGGGGGCACAAGAAAGAAATCTAAATTGTTCATTTTAAGATCAATTTAGAAAGAAAATTTTGTTTCTACAGCTCTTAGTTTCAGAGATATTGTAAAAAATATCCTTTCAATCCTCAACTTTGAGGGGTGTTTCCAGCCCTTCAAAGCAGATGTTGGCCGATAAGAATAAACGTATCAAATATTTGCTTGAAAACTATGTTTCGTATAAGTTTCATCAAAATCGGCGTATGCTGGTTGAAAAGGTTCCCTTGTAAGTAAAACAACACAAGAAAACAAGCTAAATAATTAACACTAGATTTACAGAACCCGTCAATTTGACGGATATTGAATTGTTTAACACTAAATTTACGGAACACGTCAGATATTGACGGATATTGAATTTTTTAACACTAGATTTACGGACCCCTCAGATATTGACGGATATTGAATTTTTTAAATATTATTTAGTAACAGTTTAAATCGATTTTGATTCGTGCAATTCTACGATACACATTACAATTCTTTGTTTTTGAAGCTCTAATTTCCGCGATCTATATAAACAAACATATAGTCTCCTAGGAACAATAGTGTAGAATAAATGTCCGTAAATTTAGTGTTAACCCTTTGCACTCGACAGGTGTCTCTCAGTCACCATTTAATTCGACATAGAAAATCATAAAATTCGATATATAACATTAAGTTCTGCAAAAAGCATCAATATATGAAATACTGTCAGTTGAAGATTTCTAGTGAAAAATTGTCGAGTGCAAAGGGTTAAAATCTCCTCATACAGTTACGATAACAAAATTTCGGAAATCCATTGCCTTTAAAACAATGCCACAATTAGGGGTTAAGGCTGGAGCACACCGACGTCGAATGGGACGGTTTAAGGCGGTCACTATCGCCGATGGGAACCACCGCCGGAGGCAATCATGCCGGAACGGACGGACGGTAAGAGGATATAGAGAGCCGTGGCGTTACGAGGGCCAGGAAATTGTAATCCTGCAGGAAGTTCGCGGTTAGGCGTGAATTATTCCAGCGAGCTGGGTCGCTTTGTCGATTTCGGGGGCGCCGCGTACAGCGTCGCGCGCGAGGGCGAAATCCTTAAAGCTTTCACGCGAAAAGGAACGACGCTGAGCCAGCGTTCCGCGTCCTCGGAATAATTCAAAGATAAATGAACCGCCGTCCGCGGTTTCGACGAAGATACCGACTAAAAATGGACGGGCTCGCCATTCCAAGGAATTACGGGCTGTTGAACCGGGCTGACGTAATAAATGTCGAGCCGAAATACCAGATACAATTATATTATTAGCCTTGCGGGATTTAATTATAGACGCCCCTCTGAATCGGGAATTGTATTCGAACTCGTTTATTCTTGGATGCGGAATCATATTTTCGAGATATTCTGGGATTGTATGTACGTATTCGGGTATTAATCATATAGTGGTGTTGATTCGAAGTCAAGATAAGATCAGAGCCGGGCTCTAGTTTGTCGAGAGACGCCCAACCTTCGAAACAATCAAAAGAAACTTTTTTATTTTTCTCTTGTACCAACTGAATTGTAAAGTTTTTCTCATTAAAACGAGACCAAACACGATATATTTCGGAACGTATTTAAAAAATTACTATAATTTATTTTCTTCTAGTAAATTGTGACTTAAAGTATGTCATGTTCGGTCTTGTTTTAATAAGAATAATCTCGCAAATGCATTAGTAAAAGTTTCATTTACAAAAAAACTCTTACAAAAAAGTGGTATCATTGCATTGACCCTTTGCGGACGACAATTTTTTAAACTTTTGCAAATCTTCTTCTTCTCCGCCCATGAAAACCATAGATGGAGTCATTTCTGTGATTTCATGTCTGGAGGTCCGATATGCAAGAAGAAACGTTGGAATCCATTCGTCCTAGTCTTTCTGATGTTCTGAAATAAACTGTCTTCTTTATCCCCAGCATCTTCATCAGTTTTTTGAAGATGAAAGATTTAAAACTCCGACCCTGATCAGAATGCAACTATAGCGGCACTCCATACCGGCTGATCACCTGTTGCAACAACGCTCTAACAATTGTTGTCGCCTGCTGGTTTGGTAGCGCAATAGCCTCCGGCCACTTCGAAAAATAATCTATCACAACCAGCGCGTACCTGTTTCCGGCCGAAGACCTGGGCAAGGGACCCACAATGTCAAGCGAGATCCTCTCAAATGGAGCACCGACACTGTAAACCTTCATGGCCCCTATTCCCCCCTCTTTGGGGCCCTTCTTCGCCGAACAAGTATAACATCGTCGACATCACTTGTCGACGGCTTTCCGGTGATCCAACCAGAAGAATCTCTGACGAACTTTGGCACGCGTCTTCTTGATTCTAAAATGACCACCCGATGGTGCGTCGCGGCATTCCTTCAAAACTTCTTCAATTTTGCTCTTCGGCACAACCAGAAGCCAAGAAACTTGGTTCCCATCGGTAGATTCTCATTTCCTACACAAGAGACCTTCCTTGATTTCCAGGAAATCCAAATTGCCCACAAGTATTTTGTTTCCGGCGAGGAAGACAAAAGTTCCTGCCAGCTTGGTTTCGTTTCTTCTTGTTTCTTCAAAAGTATCAAGCTAATTTCATCATCTCCGTCTTGAGCTTTTCTCCACTCTTCTAGCTGCTCGTTTCGGTATGTGGTCCTGAGGAGACAGTGTTCGTTTGCATTCACTTTTTCTTCCAAACGCAAGCAACGCTTACAGTGTTTCCCACACGGTCTTCTTGAAAGACTGTCCGCATTTCCATGTATTTTGCCTACTCTGTGTTTAATCTCAAACTGGTACTCGTGTAACCGTTCAATCCAACGTGCGGTTTGACCTTCTGGATTCTTGAAATTCAGGAGCCAGGTCAGAGCTGCATGAATGGTGCGGCTAAGGAATTTCCGTCAATAAAGGTAATGATGGAAATGCTCTACGGACTTGACTATGGCTAAAAGTTCTTTTCGGGTCATACAATAATTTCTCTCTGCTTTCCCCAGCATCTTAGAGAAATACGCGATGACCCTCGCTACTCCGTTTTGCATTTGTGACAGGACTGCTCCGATGGCGAAATTCGAAGCATCGGTATCTAGAACGAAATCCGCGTCCATCCGAGAGTACTCCAGAATAGGTGTTTCCTCCAATGCCCTCTTCAGCGCTTCGAACGCCACTTGACATTCCTCCGTCCACGTGAAATCCATCTTCTCTTCCGTCAGCCGGCAGTCCCGTTGGAAGTGTCCGATCTTCCCGCAGATCCAGCACTTCGGCTGCTTCTCGGGCTTCTTCGAGGGACCTTGCCACCTGGTTCGACTTCTATTCGTCATGTCTGGTCGATCATCCCGCAAGGTGCCTTCTCGAGCCGCATTGCACTCAAAAACACGAGGGACAGATTTTAATATCCGCACTTCATCAGCGGTGAACCCTGAAGTACTCTCGACGGCTTCGATCTCCAGAGCCCGAATAACGGCAGCTCTGAGAGATGCAAACCTGCCGATTCTCAACGATCTTTTCATCTCTTCATTGGCCAGGGCTGACACGAACTGGGAGGCCGCCAGTTTGTCCCAGATCTCGGCAGAGCATTCACAAAAGGCGGCCTGCGCCAACCTCTCTATCTCCCTGGTCAAATCGGAAATGGACTCTCCTTTCTGCTGTTTATAATTTTGAAATAGGACGAAATTTAAATTTGTTAGATTTTTCGTTCCGTAACGGAACTTCAAAGCCGAAACGATCGCGGTGTAATTTTCATGAGACCATCCACTGAAAACGGATGGTCTCATGACATATCTCAGATCCGGTATGCCGCGAGGTCCGCTGTTGTCTTCGACAAGAGGAGTCGACTGCAGAGCTGGCTGAGTTGGAACCGCGAGTCCGAACGGATCTGCCGTTACAGAGTCGCGACTTACGAATGAGGTCACTGTTATAATCCTTCGTGCTAATGTCTCTATAGTGGACGTGATAACCTGTTGGTTCGCTTCCATCACTGCAACCCTTCCTTCTAAGGCAGCTTCATGAGCTGTCAGGGCTGTCCTACAGGAAGCCTCCCTCTCTTCAGATAGGACCCGCCACTTCTCCATCTGGTCCTCGAAAGATCGCTGTTGATC